GCAGTCAGCCATGTGGGATCCAGCTTAACAAACCATGTTATGGAAGCAGACCCTTTTGTCTTTTGCTAGATTTCAAAATGAGATTTACTGTTAGTGGACAGATTGGTTCTGCTTTCCCACTCCCGGCTTCCCCCAAAGCGGCTCACATTCAAGTTTCATCTCTTTATGAACTGGGATAAATTCAGAAGTGAGACTTTTGTTAATGCCCAGCTGTTGACTCCCACAGAGGAGTCAGACTACTTGAATCGGCCTTGAGAAAGTTATTCTTTGCGCCTGGGTTTCCTCATCTATGTACTGGGTATATTCTTATGTTCCTTATGAGGGTCTAATGAGATAATACACATGCTTAGCACAACACCTGTTGTGTAATCACCTCTTGATAAATATCAGTTATTGATATATAATCAGCTTTTGTTTTCAATCATTGCAGAGGACCAGAAGCCAAAACACTGTGTCCAGGAAGCTGAGCTGTGATTATTTTTAAGGCTTTTTCTCAATTTAATAAACTGAGAGAGACTTAGATTTATTTATTACACAATCAGTTATTAAGAATCTCCTGGCCACCAGGCACAGTGCTTGGCTCCTGAGCTTCTGAGATAAAGGCACAGACTCTGCCCTCAGAATGGACAAGGCATATGTGGGGGTGGGAGTGGGGGTGGGGAGGTCTGCCCTGGAGGCTTAGCTATGAGAGAGGCTCTCGAGGAAGGATGCGCAACCCACCTGAAGGCAGGGGGCTGGGGAGATGACCTGGATAAGGTCCTAGGCTGACCCACCTCCCCTCTAACCGGTGCAGCTTTGTCTGCAGGGAAGTCATCTAGTTCACCTCTGTAGACCCCTGGCCAAATGCCAGGAAGCAAAAACCTTGGCAAGACCACACATCAACCTGGGAACTCCTGGGTTGGATCAGCTTCTCCCTTCCCAAAAACTTTGCCTTAGGACCTTGTAATCTTTCTCCTGCAGCACAGGCACTTTGAGAGCAAGGATCACATCAGCTGATCTTCAATGCCTGACTCACAGAGAGAGTGAGGGCCTGCTATTTGCCAGGCACTGTTCAAGGTACTGAGGACACAAAGGGGACAGAACAAAGTTCTCGTCTCCAAGAAGCTCCCCTTCTAGTAGGAACAGTGGCAAGAGAATATAGGACCCAAGGAATAAGCAAAATGATTTTAGACACTCGGACAGAATAAAGTAACAGAAAAGCTGGGAGCTACTTTAGTAAGAAAGCACCCTCCTCCCAGGAGGAGAGGCATGAGTTGAGATCCGGACAATGTGATTCCATTAGAAGGAGGGGCTTGCAAAAAAGTCCACTGCAGATGAAGAGGGCAGCAAGTACAAAGGTCCTGAAGTGGGGGGCAAGCTTGGTGCTTTCTGGGTTGGCAGGAAGCTAGTGTATTAGGAGTAATGTGTCCGAGGAGGAAGTGCAAGGAGGTGAGTCCAGGGGCAGGCAGTGGCTAGATCTTGAAGGCACTTGCTGACTACGAGAAAGAGTTTGGGTTTTATTAGAAGGAAAGCTCAGGAAATTCTCACTTGAAGAGAATGAGGAGAAAGAGCATTTCATTTCAACCCTTGTGCAGGGAGCAGGAGTAGAGAAAGGAAATGAGTGGTGGAGAAACAAGGCTTAGAGACACTTGGGTGAGACCAGAGCCATTTTGGGTGCATTCCTCTCCTAGCCCCTTGCTCTGTTAAATTTTAATTTAATATATATATATATATATATTTTAGTTGGACAAAGTCGTTGGGAAACAAGACCAGTCTTCCTTTTTTGCCTCCTCCAATGTCCTCCTCATTCCTTGCAGCCTTGTCACTGTTTCCAGCCTCCTCAATCTCTGAAGAGTTTCCTTCAGAGGAGGTGAAAGATTCCTAGGATGGAAGGATTGGGAAGTCTCTGGGGAAAAAGGTAGGGAAAAAATAATGTTGTAGTAAAAGTTTGGTGGGTGAGACGTGGCTGCTGGAGCTGTCGGGGTGGGGAGGGTGGGAAAGGGTGATGTGAGGCCGATAGTGGGATAGAGAAACCGACACTCTCCTTAGCTCACGCCTTAAGGTCAGGGTTCTGTCTAGCTCCTTCCAGTCTTCCCTCCTCTGGAAAGGATCTGCTGTTCATCTGGGCTGGGCAAATGGCTGCCAAGGGAATGAATGAGTGGAAAGACTGTGGGGTGTGCGGGTGGGAGACAGAGGAGAAGGAATGGAGAGAAGACAGGAAGAAATAAGTAGAGGGAACACTGGATGTCCCAACAAGCGATGACAATTACTGGCATTTATCGATCAATATCTTGGCCCGGGTCCTTTTCCTGCATTAACTCATTTTAGCCTCTCAATAATCCCAGACTGAAGGTACTATTATTGTCCCCACTTCACTGCTGAGGCAACTGAGGCCCAGAAGGGTTAAATGCCTATTCAAGGTTACCCAGCTGGTAAGTGGCTGAGATCTGACCCCAAAGCCCACGTGGTTAACCAGTTGGTTTATTTATTTATTTATTATTATTATTTATGTTTCTGCCATAGAGCACATACACTCACTGCAGAGAGACAGAGAGAGATAGGAGAGAGAGAGAGTAAGAAATCACCAACCCGAGGGAGGCCCATGCTCTAATCCTGTCTCCTCCATTCTCCTCTCAGGATTTTGGGCCCACATGCTACACATGCCCAGTGTGATTTTAAGCCACTAGGTCCAGGATTAGAACTGTGGTTGGCCATGTGGGAATCTAACACCTTA